CCCACTACCCCTCGGCCACGCCCACTGCCTCACAGCCCTGCCCACTACCCCTCAGCCCCGCCCTCAGCTCTGCCCACTGGCCCTCAGCCCCGCCCCTCGGCCCTTCCCACCGCCTCCACCCACTGCCCCTCAGCCCTGCCCCGCCCCTCCTCCCCAAATACGCTGCGCCCTGGGGGGGGGAGGGGGAGATCCTGTCAGTCCTGCCCACTGCTGCACAGCCCCACTCACTGCCCCACAGCCCCACCCTCTAACCCTCCCACATCAGGTACACTGCATCCTCCCTGCCCCTGCTCCTCCCATGCCAGGTACACCACATCCTCTGGGGAGGAAGGGTCCATCAGCCCGACACCGACACAGTCCCACCCTTCCCCCATGGCTTCACCCCCAAACCCTCCTGCTCCAGGTATACTGGCTCCCCCATGTGTTGTGAGCTTCCCCCTGGCAGTGCCCCCACGTCCTGTGAGCCTGACCCCCATGGGCTGTGAGCTTCCCTCCGTCAGTGCCCCTCACTCACCGCGGCACCAGGGGTTGAAGAGGATGTAGATCTCGTTGTGGGGGTCGAAGGGCATCTGGTACTCGCCTGCCCGGCTCCGGGTCTTGACGCTGAAGCGGTACTTGCCGATGACGGCGGTGGGGGAGGTGCTGACCCGCAGGGACAGGCTGTCGTCAGTGGAGTCCGTCTCCTCGGCCGCCCAGCCCAGCCCGGGCAGCGGGGCCCCCACCGGGACCAGGATGTGTGTGGCCTTGGACACCTGGGGTGTGGGGCCTGGGGAGGGGGAGAGACAGGGAGTTAAACCCTCTGCGGGGTACCCCCCACCCGGCCCTGTGGTCAGCCCCCCGGCCCAGGCCCCGTCTATTCCCTGACACCCCACTGCCAAAGCCCTCCATCCAGCTCCCCAGCCCAGCGCCCCTCCGGCCAGCCCCTTGCCCCACCCTGGTGAGCGCCCCTCTATTCCCTGACACCCCACTCCCAAAGCCCTCCATCCAGCTCCCCGGCCAGCCCCTCGCCTCACCCTGTTGAGCCCACCTCTATTCCTTAACACCCCATCCCTCAAACAGACAGACCCCCACCAACCTTCCCCGCTCCGGCCAGTCACTTCTAGAAGAAACCTACCACCAATCCCCCCACACTCTGTCCATCTATCCCCACCCTCATTCTCTAGGGATGGACCAGTCATCCCCATGTGCCCCCATCCCTGGGCACAGACACCTAGATATATCTGATCTCACATAACATAGGACTGGAGGGGCACTGCTGGGGGGAAGTTCGCAGCCCCAGCGTGTCCCTAGCCGGGGGCACTGCTGGAGGGAAGTTCACAGGCCCGTCACATCCCTGGCCGGGGTCACTGCTGGGGGGAAGCTCACAGGCCCAACGTGTCCTGCTGTCCCAGCCCTGTAATCTCAGCTCCATCAGCAGGTCCAGACAGGAGAGGCCCCTCCCAAACCTGTTCGACCCGAGTGTGGGGGAGCTGGGGTGGGGCTCAGTGGGGTGCGGTTGCCCCGCTTCCCTTCCACACCCTGCTGCCTCCCACAGCCTCACTCTCAGCCAGCCTGGGACTGCTGCACTGCGAGCTTCCCCCCAGCAGTGCCCCCAGCTAGGGGGAGGGAGAGGGTTTCTAGGGCTGCGAGCTTCCCCCCAGCAGTGCCCTCAGACGGGACAGGGGGAGAATCGGGTGTTGTGAGCTCCCCGCCCAGTGGTGCCACGTGGCCTCAGGGTCTGGCCAAACAGGGAGGGGTGTGGGAATGTGGTCACCACATCTGGAGAGCTGCCGGAGCAGGCAGGCGGCTAATGACGGGGTGGGTTTGTGGCCCCAGGGTGTGGGACCTGGGAAGGGGGGTAATTACAGAGCCAGCTGGGCCAGCGACCAAGGGAACGGGCCGCGCCTCGGAGCCAGCCCCATGGAGAGGCAGAATTCCTCCCCCCCGATCAGCCTTGGCCTCTCATAAGAACGGCCAGACTGGGTCAGACCAAAGGTCCATCTCCTGACAGTGGCCAATGGCAGGTGCTCCAGAGGGAATGAACAGAACAGGGAATCATCAAGTGATGCATCCCCTGTCGCCCATTGGCCCCTGGCAAACAGAGGCCAGGGCCACCATCCCTGCCCATCCTGGCTAATAGCCATTGATGGACCTATTCTCCAGGAATTTATCTAGTTC